CAGTCCGGGGGGCCCTGGCCCCAGCCAGCAGCGGGGAACGTAGGGAAAACCGAAAGGCGCCGTGCGTCGCGGTGCCGCAGTCGTCCGTGCCTCCGGAGCAGCTCGGCTCCCTTCGCCCTCCCCGGGAGCTGTATTGTCATGGGGTGGGAGCGGGGCTTGCCCCCCCCGGCACTGTGTAAGGACCCGTCTGTCCCCTGCAGGAGCTCTGGGCGTCGGGATCCCTCTGCCAAACGTGCTGGGCATTCCCTTAATAAAGGTGGACATTCAGATCTTAGCGGTAAGTGCCTGGGAGCGCACCGGTGCCGCTGGCGGGGGCTGTTTCTAGCAGCTGGATCCTGCTGGGGGGGTTTGGTGTGCAAGAGCCCTAGATTTTAACCTTTGCAAGGCCAGAAGGGGTTGCTCTGTCCGACCTCCTTCAGACCAGAAAATGCTTCGTGCCCACGAGTGTTACCGAGCGGGGCAGGCAATGCAGTGCCCGGCCCCTCCGGGTAGGTCCTGGTCCCCCGTCCAGGCTGCCTTCCCTCGCTGCATGCACAGCTCTGGGGTGGGTCGGGGGCCTGGGAAGCCCTTCCGAGCGCCACCATTCCAAGTGTCTCGAAACGCACCAAATTCCAGCATTCCTGTGCCTCCTGGAGATGTCCCAGAGGAGTTGGGATATTCTCCGGTGCTAGACATTAGGAACAATTCCTTCCCCAAAGGGCTGTCAGGCGCTGGAAGGGGCTGCCCAGGGAAGGGGTCGAGTCCCCACCCCTGGGGGGATTTAACAGCCGGGCAGAGGCGGTGCTGAGGGCCAGGGTTTGGGGGTGGGATGGCAGGGGTAGGGGAGCGATTGGGCTTGATGAGCCTAAAGGGCTTTTCCACCCTCAACGATTCCATGATTCTATGATTCCCAAAGGGCGCCGTGCCCTCCTTGTTAAAAATTGGATGCGAGGGTTTTTGCAAGGGGGTTTTCGGCTCCCTGTGTGCTGCTGCCAAGGCTGTGGACCAGCATCCCTCCAGGGCGGGGAATAACACGGATGTGTCGCTCCTTGCACCTCTTCAGGGCCTGCTGGTGATCCTTGTGTGAGCCGGGGCGCCCGGGGCACGGAGGGGCCTTTCCGGGCAGAGAACGAGGAAGAAAAACCAGTGAGGATGGAGCAGCGGGACCGCCCTCATCTCCTTTTCTTTTCTCATCTTGATTCAAGATTCTTGATAACATTTAAGACACTTTAAAGTTAATTGGCTCGTGTGAGCACGAAGATGCTTGCACAAGCCAAAACCTGATGGGCAGCTCTGTGTACAGATATTTATTTAGAGAAATCAGCATGAATAGGGGGCACGGCTAGCGCAGCTGCATGCCATGCTGCAGTGGAATTGATAAATTTGCTCTCGATGTAATGAAGAGGTGACCTTGCTGCCTGTGGCTCCCTAAGGGACCGTCACCGTCCGGGTTCAGACGGGTGCGGAGGGCTGAGCGGGAGCTCAGGGCACGTCTCTCGCGTAACTCTCTTAATAAATATTCCTACTTTTTTAGTGCTTGGAATGAGGTTCTGGTTTCTGATGCTTCCTGGGGAGGGCGCCTGCCCTGCCTCCCGCTGCGGGACCCGCTTCCCTTGTGACAAATGGTGGTTTGCTTTGGGCTTGAGAGCGTTTTCCTCTCAAACTTCCTGAGAAAACAACACTTGGGTTTGCCGTGGCTCCTCCTGGCCGGGTCACCTGCTGATCTACGAGCAGAAAGCGGAATGAAATTGAATTCTCAAAGGCGGTGAAGCTTTTCCTAATAGAATCTGAAGGGAAAACTTTGTTAGCGGGTAACGGAGCAGTATGGGGGAGCGGGAGCACGCCCGCCTGCCTGCACGGCCCCCGTCTGCCCAGGCTGGGGCGAGAG